TGCAGCGGGGGGGTGAGGACCTGGCCCAGATCCCTGAGGCTTGCTAGTCCAGCTTTGCACCAGAGCAGGTCGCAGGGCTTCGGGAGGCACGCACAGGAGCTGCCACATGGGGCTGAGCCAGGTCCTCCCCCTCCCCCTCCCCCCGCAGTCACCATGGGCCCAGCCTGGCTGGGCTGCAGAGGGGGTGCAGGACCAGGTTGGGCCTGGCACGCGGTCCCCGCATGCCTCACTGGGTCCTGCTACCACAAAAGCAGCTCACCTGGCCAGCAAGAGCAGCCCCAGGGCCGGCAGGACCAGGCTGGGCTCAGCGCATGGTCCCCCTGCTGCTGTTGTAAAAAATTAGTTATGGGCCATGGGCAGGGGGGCTGGAGCCCTCCAGGGTTGAGTTGGGACCCTGGGGGGTATAGGGGCTGTGGCCCTCCAGGGGGGAGCTGGGACCTTGGGCGGTGGGGGGCATTCCATGTGCTGGGGGGGGCCTGCACCCTGTGTGAGCCATGGTACCCACCCCTCCTGAGCAGCCCCCAACACAAGATCCCCCACACCCACAGTGCCCCCAACAATTGCCTCACTCCTACCCACAAACCAACCCACATCCATCCACCCGCCTTCCCCCACACCTCTTCTCACCCCCTTTCTACAAACACCACATCCCCCCATCACACACTCATCATATATGAAGAAAACCAAAAGCACACATCAACATATATAGGTATTTAGAATTTTTTCATGATGATAGGGGCACTGGTAGGTTTCCAAATTGCTTTAACACTGTAAATATACCAATAAAGCATTACCCAACTTCTCTCTCTCTCTCTCTCTCTCTCTCTCTCTCTCTCTCTCTCTCTCTAAATGAATTTGGGATGCTGCTGCAGCAGTCCAGCTGGCACAAGGGGTACTGTCCCCAGGTATCAATTGGCTGGGCCCCAGAAGTTCCAGAGAGCGAGTAGCCCTGAGCTGCTTGCCAGGGCAGCTTTTTGTATGGATGGGGCCAGGACAGGGCAGCCTTTTATACTGCTGGGGACAGCACAGGTGCTGGCCCTAAGCTGTACCTCCTCCTGGCTGCTGATCCAGGAGGAGCCGGGCAGGGTTATTTTGCCCCAAGTGGCACAGTTTGCTCCACACCAAAGTGCATGTCCAAGCATGTACGCTGAGGCAAAAAGCCCCAGCTCAATTTGCACCGCTTCTATTTGAGCTGCTGCAAGCGCATGTGCTTACATGTGTGGACGTGCCCTAAGTGGCTAAACAAATCTACTTCATTGGAGAAAATGGAAGAAAATGGGTTGGTGATGCTGCAGTTTTCTCCCACACACACATGCACACTCTCTCCCCCTGTTGGGGTCACATGACCCACAGGTTCAACACTGCAGCAGTAGTTCACAGACCAGCTAACTCCAGAAGTTTTATGCTCAAAACAGAAAACACCAAACTGGAGGATTTGCGAGATTCATTACAGTATCTTTTTTTCTGTTTGTACTGTTCCTTTCCCTTCTCTTGCTCTCTCTGTCCACAGAGTATGTCAGAAAAGGACAAGCTGGTGGAACTGTATCAATACCCAGGGTATAATGAGCATGAACCAACAGCACTGCCTAATGAGACAAACCTGGCTGACGTAGTGGAGAAAGTTGTGTGTGCCCAGAGAAAGCCAGCAAGTGGAAAGGTACCCTACTTACTCTCAGAGGACAAGAATGATTCCATGCCATGTGTGTAAATTCATACAGGTGAACATCTGAGTATATGTGCCTGATGGTTTTGTGGATGGATAGATATACTTATATGTGTTGTATGAATATTAGCATTTGTTTCTCATTTGTTTGTGAATATGACCATTTGGAGGGCTGTGCAAATAAGAGATTCAAAGGTTCTGTTGCCCTGTGGGGTCAGGCCAACTCTCAAGATCTCAATATTGCACTGTTAGACAGGAGGGTACGACACAATTGCACATATACAAACACAAATCAATTAGGTGCATACATACACACACACA